TTTTTTTTTTTTTTTTTTTTTTTTTTTTTTTTTTTTTTTTTTTTTTTTTTTTTTTTGGCAAAATATGCTTTTGGTCCCTATATTAAAACTAAACATGGAAAAAAGATTCTACACCACCAAAAACCATTAAAACATTAATTATTGATGAAGAGAATGCAATGTACCTATGGAAGTGCTTTCTTGTGTTTCTTCTTTGCATCTCGACAAAATGCACTTCCACAACAGCACTTAAAGGCCTTCACAGGATGATCTTTATCATCAAAGTCAATTGCATAGTCCTGTAGATACTAAAAAATTAAACGTACAACTTCAAATACACTTAAAAATATAAGAATGAAGTACTAAGCACCATCCATTCCTAGTTTCAGAGCCTAAATTGGCATCGATGGTATAATAAAGTACAACGTAACTAGACCAGATTTCATCCATCAGACAGAAAAGTACATTGATTTGAATATTCGAACAATTAATAGAAACCTATTAAAATAAATTACGAACAAATTTGATATACTATTGAAAGTTAAAAAATCTACTAGATATTTTTTAAGAAAAACTTAACCTACCCATGTTAGCTCTTCCAAAGCTTTCACTTCCCTGCTAGTAAAAAAAGCAAGCTGCACGTACAGGATACGCAATGAAATTAGACGAACTTCTTTAGCTAAAATATAAAATACTTCCATTTTCCAGTAAAAGAGGCAGAATAATATTCTACTATTTCCTGTAGACAGTGACATCTAGTGAGTTGAGAACAGTTATAAGTTTATCGCGATTCATACATGATAGTAGTGGCGATCAGGGGTTTCGACTTCAACAGGAATGTCAATCAAATTTGCATCGGAACATCTAAGAAAAAAAGAACAAATTGTAAACAAGTTAGGAAAGTGTATTAGAGGGATTAATAAGTTATAACATAATTTATTTATATAACGTACAATAATGTCCTCATAGAAAAACAATAACCTCAGTAAAACCAAAATTATTCAATCTACGGAGTTCCATGATGATTTATAAATTCTTCATTCGGTACTTGGCACAATCACAGCTCAGCTCAATTAACAGATTATCTTGTCTAAGGAAAGGAAAATGCCTGTGGAATATAGAATAGTAAAAAGGTTTTGATGTTCCCAAGAAAGAGTTAACTCAGACCCAATTTCGGTCCACTGGATATTTACAAAGCGCACACCGTTGAAGTTGATACCTATAGAACTACATGCTACGTAGTCCCAAGGTGGCCGGGGAAAACTAAGTGAAGCAAGAACAAAGTGGAACAATTATGAGTGGGAGCTGTATGCTTTGGTCAAAGCACTCAGAAAGTGTTACACTGTTTAATTGACAAGGAATTTCTGTAACCCCTGATCATGAAGCCTAAGAATATATCAATTCTGAGGAACATTTGAGTAAAACACTAGGCACGTTGAACATTTCTATTCAGAAAATTTTAAAAACAAAGTAACAATTCAGACAAAAATTGAACAATCCCAAGAATGAAAAAAAAAAAAAATCCTTTGATTGCATTGATTGATTAATCGGAATAGTACAGCTGTGAATTTATACCTATACTTGTAAGTCGCAGACTTAACCAATCAATAACAGCTCATCAAGTAACATTACATACTAATAACAATATAATCCTCTAATAGTAATAATGTCGTAGAAGACCACATTATGCAGGGGAATTAAAAAATCACCTTTGGCTATCTTACAAACTGAAAAGGCAGCGTTTGACAGCCAATAGTACAGATGTGGGAGAACATATTGTTGACAGCAGTTTTCATAAAGTCCTTAAACTTCGTATTCCACAAGTTTTTGTGTGGGAACAACTTATTAATAAAGATCTATATTATGGAGAAAAGTAGTCGGGATTGTGGATCCAAAACAAGGCTTTAGAGCCATTAGACCCCAGAGGATAGAGGATAATGTCGAGATGTTGGTTTGACAGTTGCGATACTGGTATAAAGACAAAAGAAAAGGCCAACTTAGAGTCAATTCTATGCTTATTCATAAATGATCAACTTCCTGTTGTAGTACCCTATCCCTAGGGGAAATCAAATCCCCCTTGCCTCCTTGAAAGAGAGATGTCCTGAAGCACCATGACTGCCATCATACTATGATTATAGTCTGAATAGTTTTTTTTTTTTAAAATTGTCATTCTAAATATAATGGACTAATATGATATCTACCATTCAAAGGGTTTTTTCTCTTTTTTTATTCCTTAAAACTTTTTTATTTGGGATTTATATTTACCAATCGTTCATTCTAATCACCTTTCCAATATAATTCTATCTAGAACTTCTTTTGTCTCAACGCTACCCACAGCATCCCAACATTACTAAAACATCCAAAAGAAGGATAAAGACAAATATCGATGTGAAGATGCTACAACATTGTATCATCACAATGTCATAAGCAGCAATGTGACGTTGCAACATCGTGTCGTCACAATTTCTTTATATGTTTTCAACAAGTTTCTTCAAAAGTGGGGGTTTCGTTTTTTTTTTGGTCGTAGAGACTCATAAGGCAAAATGTTCTAGGCTATTGTCATAGATACAGAGATTTTTGAGAGCATTGAATAGTTTCATATTGATTTGGGGGTATTTTCATTGTAGTATACATACTGAGAATCAGTCTTGAGCTTTTGTGAGAATCCCCCAAAGTAATCTTTACCTTTTTAATGAAACCTGAAATTACAGAATATTGGACATAGTTCTAAGTTTGGAGTATAATAGGATAAATTCTCAAGTGCCATTCTTATACTTATCTTGTCTCCATTTAGTTAATTATCTGTGATTTGTTTTACCCTATGTGGAAGGAGAATTTCTAGAAGGAAATGTGTACAACTAAAATAACGTGCATGCAATACTTGCATACCTGTGGTTAATAAATCTTGCAACATTTCCATAATATGTTGCATCCAAACAAAGTAGCTCATCATCCTCTAGAACTCCCTCTGAGCCCCAGTCTGCATCAAGAGTTACAGGATACGTATGCCTCTCATTACCAGTGCTTTGCATATTTCGATCATACAACTCTGTATTTGTCAATACTTCACCAACGTACTCGCAGACAAAAGACCCTTTTGGCAAGTTCTTTAGTGTTCTGAGGCCCCATCCTTTTCCTTCACAAGTGAAGTAGACCTGAAACACGGAGGTCAAGTATGCATCTTAACTAAATGAAGTCATAACATGAAATCTGGCTTAAAGTTACCAAGTCAAACAAGTATCCGTTTCCTTTATATTGTCACATTACATCATGAATGTTTTAGTTTTTAAAAGATTCACCATGAATTTGAAAAATGTAATTGAACTATTCAAGAAAGAAGAACTAGTTAAACAGTTTCCACGTTCATTTGTCTGACTTGATACTCGAATAAACAAACAAAAAGCTCTGTTGAAGATTGAAACAACTAAACATTTCCAATTATTCTTCTAGGATCTTATGAATACTTTTTGAAAAGCAAGGACCACCTATAAGGCCAATGTACTCCCTGATACCCAATAGTGTAGTAGTATTGTGAAGGGGGAAAAGTGAAAAGAACTTCACATAAACTCTCACCTACAATTTCTTTTTTCTCTTTTTCCTTTCGTGCATGGTCATTGATGTAATCGAAAAAAGATGGTCAATTACATTTTTGTTGATGACGATACCCATCTATCTTATGTTTATTTGATGGCACAAAAGTCTGAGGTGAGAAATCTATTTATACACTTTTCATTTTGACCATGGAATGGAGTATTTCATGAAAATTTGGGTGATTTCTAAAAAAGAAAGGTATTTTTCATCAACTTATTTGTTGTAACGTGCCTCAACAAAATGGGACTGCTCAAGAAATACCCAGACATTTACTTGAAGTAGCTTGTGCAATAATGTTTTCCATGCATGTTCAAAAATGTTTTTTGGTGAGAGGATGGGAAACTTACTTCTGCCTATCTCATAAATAAAATGCCTACCAAAGTTTGGAATTTCAAAACCCTTATAATTGTCTTAAACAATATTTCCAACAACTCGCATAAGTTTTGATTTATGAATAAAATTTTTTATACTACTACTTATGCTCGTATACCTAGTTACTTTTAGTCAAAACTTGACCATAGAGCTCTCAAATGTGTTTTCTTGTGGTATTCTTCTTGTAAAAATGGTTGTAAATATTTTGATTCTGTTGTAAAAATGGTTGTAAACTTGACCATAGACAGAAAAGCAATAAAAAAAAAAAAAAAAAAAAAAACTTTGA